CACAGGCGTACCCCTGAAATATTGCGGGTTTGGTTGCAAATCAAAGCAATAAAGCAGGTACCGCAATAAAGTGAGGCATAAGCCTTTTGCTGGTAGGAGGGTCTTGCCTTCCATTTGTAAAAAGTGCAACATCTGCGAAGTGCAATAAATAAAAGGAGGTATCTATGCCTGTATTCGGCAAACCTGACTGCAGTTGCCTACGCGGTACACTTAGGCCTCCCTAACGCCTCCCTAGGCGCAGGCCACATTGGTCCACAATCCCTGCGTACGACCGCAGCCTGCATACTTACAGGGCCGGGAGCCCAGCTTCAGCCGGTCCTTGGGAGTCGCACGAGTGCCCAGTTCTCCATTTTCCTTATCCACAAAGATCACAGTAGCCATTCTGAATTAACTAGGGGAGTGAAACACATATTAAACCCTGGGGGTTAGGGAAGACGAGAGAACCTAAGGGGTAGCACCGACCAAACTCTCCACGCGGGGCACGTCCACGCAAAAACGGCAAGAGCTGGGCACAGGGAGAAGCGCGAGCTTGAGCCAACGGGCACGAAATCCAGCTCTTAACTCTTCACGGCCGCGTAAGAGCCTCTAAATTCCAGACGAGTTGGCGGTTTGGGCCCGGCAGGAACCCTGGTTCTCAGAAGAACCGAACCGGGGAGGGTCGCCGTGCAGTCAAGGCCGACAACCCGGCTGGGCGCTATGCTATAGACGACCCCGGGGAGTCCCAGCCGCAACCCCACGCCCCCAGCCCCTGGCCCTCGCCCGCCGCACCCCCTGCCCCCGACCCCCCGGGACCCGGTCCCCAACACGCCTTTTTCTTCACCAGACCACCACCCCCTCCCCCGTCCCCGCCCGACCACTCACGACCACTCACGACCTCTCCATTCACCCACGTTAGGATCCACAGCCAAAATCTCCCAGGGCTCAGCCTTCAGCGGTCGCGCCGGGCCCGGCGTTTGAACCACAACTCAAGTTCCTATTGGCTCACCCGCCCAGTGGGCGGGACCGGAGTGGGTGGAGACTCCCAGAAAGAACCAATGGGAAGAACCTACGTTCCTTAGGCTCCGCCCCGAAAGCTTTTTCCGTAAAAGATTACAGCTTGTTTCTTGGGAAGAAAAAAAAAAAATCAAACCACGTGACACTTTAATAATGGACTTTTAGGTGTGTTTTTTACTAACAGATAGAAGGGGAGTGAATATGGTCACCATTTATTATGATATTAAGATACAGAGTTTTGTTTTGTTTTTCCTGAGACACTGGAGGGGCCAAGAGGTTTTTAAATGAAAAGATTGTGAGGTTCAAAAAGTGAAGGCGAAGTTGCAGCTGAACTATTTTCCTAAAGTCTTCAACTAATCAACTATTTGTCCAGAGAGTAAATCGACCAGATCAAATTCAAAAAGAAGAGGTATCCTGGAGAAAAGGCATTATAGTCTTCAGGAAAATAATTGAGGAAAAATGGATACATAACAAACAGTTGTATTTCAATTAGTGATATGAAAAAATACATACATAGTCAGGTGGGAAAACAACCCATTAGGTCTAAAGAACACTAGCAGAGCAGAATTAAAAATTAAGAAAAAATATAAGTACCGATAGATCAAACAGCAATATTTGAGTCATTCTGTTATACTTGTGATTAAGAATGGACTGCTTATTCCCTCACTGAAGGCCTTTCCTCAATATTTCAGGCTAGGATGCTGTTTCTAGTACTGCAACAGAAATCTCTGGCTTAAGAACAAAATAATGATCCTAATGAATACATAATTCAGGCTTCCTTAAAAATTCTATAATAGGGACTGTCATAGATATGGTTCTCAATATATGCCAGCTCATCGGCTCTTCTTCCCTAGCATTTCAGGACCAAAATTGACCACGGAATGATTCATTCACTAAACAAATAATTATTGAATGCTGTTTAACGCATCAAGAAGAATCCTAGCCCTAGCCAGTTTGGCTCAGTGAATAGTGCCTCAGCCTGCAGAGTGAAGGGTCCCGGGTTTGATTCCCATCAAGGGCACATGCCCTAGTTGCGGGCTCGATTCCCAGTGGGGTGCGTGCAGGAGGCAGATGATCAATGATTGATCAATGATTCGCTTTCATCATTGATGTTTCTAATCTCTCTCTCCCTCTCCCTTCCACTCCAAAATCAATAAAAATATTTTTTTAAAAAAAGAAGAAAGGATCCTAACTCAAGAAGGTGAAGAAAAGAGAGAAGACAAAATTAATTAATTAAAAATGCATAGCCCTAGCTAGATTGGCTCAATGGATAGAGCCTCGGCCTGCAGACTGAAGGGTCCTGGGTTCGATTCCAGTCAAGGGCACATGCCCGGGTTGTGGGCTCAATCCCCAGTAGGGGGCATGCAGGAGGCAGCCAATCAATGATTCTCTCTCATCATTGATGTTTCTCCCTCTCCCTTCCTCTCTGAAATCAATAAAAACATATTTTTCAAAAAACATGCATACTTTTATTACCCCTTCCCTGTCCTTTTTCCTTTGAGTCCCCACCCCTTCCCTTATTTTCTCCCTGTATCACTTTCTACATATCTCAGCTTCATATTATATCAACGACACTCAAAAGTGTTGATTTTTAAAACCAAACCCATACACCACATACAACTTCCAAGTGGGGATTCTTTCCCCCACGGTTTTTGGTTGCAAGGTTTATATTTCCCTAGGGCAGTGGTTCTCAACCTTCCTAATGCCGCGACCCTTTAATACAGTTCCTCATGTTGTGGTGACCCCCAATTTCATTGTTACAAATTGAACATAATTAAAGCATAGTGATTAATCACAAAAACAATATGTAATTATATATGTGTTTTCCGATGGTCTTAGGCAACCTCTGTGAAAGGGTCGTTTCACCCCCAAAGGGGTCACGACCCACAGGTTGAGAACCGCTGCCCTAGGGTAAGTCTTCCCCTTACAACAGGAAGTACTGTCTCCCAAGGTCATTCAGTAACTGAAAATGCCATAACCACCTCCTCTTGGAGTGACCACTGTTTCCTTACTAATGAGCCGCAGACCCACTTTGTTATTCCAAACGATTAGTGGGCTATCCAATTGACCCCTTCCTCACCTCATAAGGGTACTTACATCCTAAGCAACCCCAGTGTAGACTAATCCTGATTGACAAACAGCGACCTTCCAGAACTGCTTCCTTAAACCCTCCTCAGAATCAGTCCTCCAGGGAGGAACCCAAACCCCACAAAAGATTCTCTGGCTTGTCCAGCACATTCTATGATTCCTCTGGGAGATGAGCTCCCTGGCTTGCGCCTGGTGATTTGAACTTAATAGTCCTCAACGATTCCAAGTAAATTCCAGTAAATGTTTTAAGAAGATAAAAAACAAGTGTGAGTGCTTCGTCGACTGTCAGGCTATTCTCTGACACTTTCCATTCCTTCATCTATTGCCTTGTAGAATCAAAACATTTACATTCCTAAACTCTAGACACTGCAAATTCTTAATAAGAAAAATAATAATGACATTGTAATGGGCTATCTTATTGAGGTAAGAATGTTAGCTATTTTCACTTTTACCTTTTAAAGGAATACATGTTATTTGGGGGGGGAAAATCTTAAAGGTGACCAGAACAGATAAGACAAAAAAATAAAAAATTCAACTGAGTAAATTTGAAGATCTAATTGGCTTTATTAAATGATTCGTGGATTGGGCAGCATCCCACCTAACAACTACAAGAGCATTGGGGAGGTTTTTATAGGAAGAAGGATGAAGCAAGGAGATATTAACAAAAACGAACAGGTTGTTTGGGGACCAGGACATCTTTTTTGGGTTTTTTTTTAAGGGAGAGGGGGACGCTGGAGGAAGAAGGGGGAGGATTTTTATCATGCAGATGAACTCTCTCTGTGGGGGTCGTGGATGGACAGGGCCCTTGCGACAGACAACCTTACTGGTGCTTGAGAAAGGAAAGGATGTCTAAGCTGCTGCTGGGACTTGATCAGTAACCAAGGGAACAGAAAATTCCTAACCACGCCACATATCCTTTCCAACAGTATCCATGAAAAAGAGAAATGGTTGTAGAAGGCAGCGACTGTTCTTTCTACATCCTGATAAAAATATAAAAATAATTGCTTCCAGAACCCTTCCCATGGCTCCAGTTTCCAGTGCTGAATGACCCTTCCTTATCTGTATATTCTCTCCACCTGATGGAAAGGCATTACTCCTTGACTATATGTAACTAACTAAACAGCTGATGCATAGCTATATTCTTTGTTCCTCCCTCTCCCGGCCTATATAAATATCCCTGAACTCTGCTCTCAGGCAATGTCCTCAGATGTGCCCAAATAAATCTCTTTTCCTAAATCTGTAAAAGTTCAAGTCTTCTTTTCCTTGATATGCTTGATGAGAAAGTCCAGACTGCATGAGATTACATTTCTGGGAAAGGTTGAAACTGCAATTAAATCCATTTGGAGGGAGTGGGAGGGGCATGGGGAAGGGAAGATAAGGCTGAAGAACTCCGGGAAATGGGTCGAAAGCTTCCAATTCTTAAAGATATCCTCATAGGGGAGACAAACGCCAAGCTGAGGAGGGAGCAGGGAACAGGGACCTTGAAGGAAGCCGCCATCCTGAGCCTCGGACATGGGTCCAGTCAGACCAGGACTCTGTCTCCAGTTGTTTTTAAAGTAAAAATTATAAGATGTTATATCAGATTTTAAAGGCTTTTTACTTTTTTTCTTACGGCGAAATGATATGCTGGATATATTGAGTTAAATATTGCAAAAGTAACCTTACCTGTTTCTATTGTCTTAATATGGCTACTGGAATGTTTAAAATGACATCTAGGGCTGGCATATTTCTCTTGGACGACGTTGCATTGGAGGGTTTTAAGCTTGTGGGGTGGGACGTGATATGAACAAATTAGGGTTTTGAAAAAATATCACTACAGCGTGGACTACTGATTCGAGGGAGTGGGAAGAGTGACAAAACTCGAGATCTCGCGAGACCAACGTCTCGGGATCCTGAGACCCAAAGAGTTGTTACTGCGCATGTGTCCCGCGGTGGCTGCTGGGAAGCGCTGAGAACCGGAAGTAAACATTGACGTATTGGCTTAGTTTCTGTCCGGTAGTTTCGGGGTCCGCTGCGACAGGACTTGGTGAGGAATTATTTTGAGAACCTGGGTGGGGAGGGTGGGGAGGCGAGCGGGAGCGGGACGGTGCGAGGGAGTGGGCCGGGCGGGCGCGGGACGGTGCGGGGTAGTGGGGCGGGAGGGCGCGGAGACGGTGCGGGGTAGTGGGGCGGGAGAGCTCGGAGACGGTACCAGAAGAGGAAGGTGAAGCTAGGAGAACCCGGAAAATGGGCCGGAAACTTCTAATTCTGAAGATATATCCACAAGGGGCTGATGAATATCAGGTTGAGGAGGGAACAGGGAACGCGGGCCAAAAATGAAGCCTTAGACGTGATTCTGTGCCCAGTCAGACCAGGACTGTGTCTTTCGTGGTTTTTAAAATAAAAATGTCATTGGAGCTGCACTGCCCAGTATAATAGTTATTAGCTGCTCGTGGCTCTTAAGCACTAGAAATGTGGCTAGTCTAAGTGTAACATCCACATCAGATTTTAAAGACAGTTTATTTTTTTCTTATGGCGAAATGATATACTGGATATATGGGGTTAAGTAAAATATTGCAAAAGTAATTTTACCTGTTTCCTTCTATTGTCTTAGTGTGGCTACTGGAATATTTAAAATGACATGTAGTAGGAAAAAGTAGTAACACTACGGTGGTAGCATTGACAGTTAGATGAATATGGATATTCAGAAGATGAAAGTTTTTTTAATGATGAAATAGGTGTGGGGATTAGCTGGAACAAGGAAAGGGATGAATGGTGGTGTTTTTTATTAAGAGAGGAAACTGGAAGGAGACTAGATTTCATAGAGAAGATCATGAATTTGAATTAAGATTTGTTGAGTTTACGTGTCCCTAAGACCTCTAAGTGGAGATGCTGTGAAGTAAGCACTTGGAATATATGTATCTGACGCTCAGATAAAAGGTCTAGAGTAGAGAAATAAATTGGAGCCAAGGTTGGAATGTAGCTATTAAAGCCTTGGAAATAGATGAGTTTGTCCACTAGTGGAGTTCACAGTGATGAAAGAGGCTCTAGGACTTGCAGAATCCAAAATTAAATAACTAGGCAGGAGTGGATAAACCTGCACAGGAGCCAGGAGAAGGAGCAAGAGGGGTCCAAGAAAAAACAGAAGAGTATAGTGTGCCATGAGCCAAGGGATAAGAATATATCAAAGAGAAAGGGAACAGAACGGAAAAGAATGTCCACTTAGTAGTAACTCTTCAGAGTGGTAAGGGTTGGAAGCTAAATTAGAGTGGTTGAGAAGGGAAGTAGATGATCAAACAGAGGTAATAAATATAGATAACTCTTTTTTAAATATATATTTTTACTGATTTCAGAGAGGAATGGAGAAGGAGAGAGAGAGAAACATCAATGATGAGAGAGTCATTGATTGGCTGCCTCCCACAGTCCCCACACGGGGGATGGAGCTCGCAACCCAGGAACATGCCCTGAGCTGAAATTAAACTGTGACCTCCTCATTCATAGGTCGACATTCAACCACTGAGCCATGCCGCTGGGCTAGATAACTCTTAAGACATTCAGTCTTTAAGGGTAATAAAGATCAGTCTCTGTTTAAGAGTTTGTGTGGTAGAAAAGTTTAACCCTTTGCACTCCGAACCATTCTGGACATTGGCTACCAGCTACTGGACGCTACTTTGCGGCGGAAACGTGCATTTACAGACCCTCGTATTATTTAGTATAATTTTGGAACCAAGTAACGTATTATAATGATATTGGACTTATATGAATTGGGTGACATCGAGGAATGTATATTTGCAAAAAAAACAATATTTTATTGTTTATAATTTTGTACAGTATAAGTTTTGTAACACTCCCCAATATGCATTGCAGGCTGATTAGTGCATGTTTGACAGTAATAAGTGGTTTGACGCCTGCCACCAGGTGTTTTCCTGTTAGAACACACAATGCAGTCCCGTTTTCTTTGTCCCACATCGGGAATATGTAGTTTATTGTTTAATCCGACACAAAACCCGCTGACATTTCTTGTATATATCTTAGTAATTTTACGATATTTTGATTTAATTTCTTGTGCCATTTCAAGATAAAACTTCAGGGAAACATGCATGTCTCAAAAAGTTGCGTTGAAATAACTCAATTCCCCGTAATCACTAATAAACTGCAATGTCCCCTGAGAGGGGACATCCGAGTGATATGCTAGAATTCCGATGTCCCCTGAGAGGGGACAGCGGAGTGCAAAGGGTTAACATTTACGTAGAGAGGAATTCAGGAATGTATATGAGAGAGTCTTATGAAATTTTAAATCTGTGTGTATGCCTCTCCATTTGTAAATTAGAATTGAGGGCATAACTACTACAGTAGAGATTTTTATTTAGGGGAAAGAAAACCTTCCCTTACAAATACTATGAAAGAATAAGAACATATGAAACTTTATAACTCACAGTATGTGTTATTAATATATACTTTTGATAATTTCACTGATGAACTCATGAAGGCCTAGTTTATACTAATACAGATTTCTTCCCTTTTAAAGAGGAGGCCAGATAACAATGGCGGCTGCAGCTGTGGACACAGTTAATGCCGCCCCCGTGGCAGGGTCCAAAGAAATGAGTTTGGAGGAACCAAAGAAGATGACCAGAGAGGACTGGAGAAAGAAGAAAGAGCTAGAAGAACAGCGAAAACTGGGTAATGCTCCTGCAGAAGTTGATGAAGAAGGAAAGTAAGTAATTTTTTGTATGATCTTTTCATTCACAATTCAGATTCATGTCTAACTTTATCAATTCCTCATCCTTTGGCAGGAAGCTATCTTTACCATTTACGTCAGGTTTGTTTTATTTATTTTATCAAACTCATGTGTAAGGTTTAATAATCAAGTAATATTGAAGGACTTATAATGAATGGCTATAGTCCCTTTCAACCCTTCCCACTCCCTGCCCCACTGTAAAAAAGTGACTAATTATAAATCTTTGTATTTTTGAGTTTTTCTGGCTGGTACCTACACATGTCTAAATAATATACCTAACCCATTATTTTAATCAACTCTAAGATATTACTACTTTACCTCTTTCTCTGATACAAGGTTTATCTCACTAAAATACATCTCTCTTCTTCCTTCAGTTATATCACTGTTCTTAATTTATTTGTGGGAAATTTTTCACTCTAATTTAAATTATTTTTTATTGTTTTCTTTTTAATTATTTAAATTATGTTATAGAAATATCAAGTGTATCCTTTACCCACACCACCCCCCACTGCAATATCTCTGTTCTTAGATTCTGTATAGGCTATCTTTAGTAATTTGTAATATCAATTATTTCCACACTTTATTCTTTTAAAAAAATCTTTTTTTTATTACAGAGACATCAACCCTCATATTCCTCAGTATATTTCTTCAGTGCCATGGTATATTGATCCATCAAAAAGACCTACTTTAAAGCACCAGAGACCACAACCAGAAAAACAGAAACAGTTCAGCTCATCTGTTGAATGGTATAAGAGGGGTGTAAAAGAGGTATGTAGGCATCCTGTATATATCCCTGTAGAAATGGAGATTAAGAACTTGCTATAACAACCTTTAATACAATACTATATAAAATAGCAATAGCTTATATAACCTTCCATCTGGTATTAAAATTCACACATATGACATTAGCTTCTGTATTTTATTTTATAAATTTTATATTGCTGAAGTCCTTAAACTTTCTCATTTATAAAAGTGTAGGAGACTCTTAACTGGTTATCCTCTTCATAAATAAATCATTTCATCAGACAATATAATGAGAGCCAGTGTTATTTCTAACTTATTCAGATAAATGAAATATTTCCTTTGTTTTTCTTTACATTCATTTATAGAATTCCATAACTACTAAGTATCGCGAAGGAGCGTGTGAAAATTGTGGGGCCATGACACACAAAAAGAAAGACTGCTTTGAGGTAAATTCACCTTTGAGAATTGTGGAAACTGTTGTCTGGGTCTTTCTTTCTTGATTCCTTATCAGAAAGCTTGATTCTATTTTTCTAAAATTATCTAAACTTAGCTACCAGTTAGATAAAAATTAATTTGCGTGACATAGTTCAACATTATCAAGTTTTTCTGCTGGAAGACTAACTGGTGATTTAAGAACTAGACAATAAAGTCCCATGGTGTATGTTCATACCTGCTCTGTAAAGATTATAGGAAGTTTTCCTCTGTGCTACAGGTACTTAGGGAAAGATGTAATCTTATTCTGTTTTCCAGAGACCCAGGCGAGTTGGAGCAAAATTTACAGGAACTAACATAGCTCCAGACGAACATGTCCAGCCTCAGCTGATGTTTGACTATGATGGGAAGAGGGATCGGTGGAATGGCTACAATCCAGAAGAACACATGAAAATTGTAGAAGAATATGCCAAAGTTGATCTGGTGAGCAAAATTCCCTGTTTTCCTAGTATCCTTAAAGGATGAACATTTTGCTCTACCACTAATTTAGCTCCTCTGTTTTTCAAGCCTTCAAGCAGTTTAAAAACGGAGGCATTTTTATGTAAGCTTAATTGAATAGTGAACATAAACAGTGTACTGGCCCCATTTAGTAGCAATTTCTTTTTATTTGATTCTTGTGTTGTCCTTTACTCCCTGACTTAGGTTGTAAAAAAAAAATACTGGAAATGTGAGAACAGATTAGTGTCCAAGCTTTTGGCTTTTTGAGGTTATAAAATTGGTTCCCATACTGTATCTTGCCCAGGGCCTATTTTACAATTGTCTCAGAGCATTTAGAGGGTGGTAGAATGGGAACTAAGATAACCTGTTTCAGAAAATTGAATTTTTCTTTAACTACAATTTTCTTCTGTTATGTTTTCACCTACTCATCCTCATTCTTTAAAATCCATAGTTACACTGCCTTTTTATTTTTCTAAGGGGGAGTTAACATTTAAGAATCATGGGATTTCACATAATCTGAATTTTCTCTTTTCTTGAACAGTGAAATATATACGTGACAAGAGTCAGTCAATGGAGTCAGGTGGCAACTGCCGCTTTTAGATAGGGCTTGCTCTCTGCAGTTTACCACAGGTGCTGTCTGGCTCAGTTTCCATTCATGCCTGCTTCAAACAGGAGTTTGTAACTCCTATTCCTTAGAGAACCATAAGTCTGGAGCTCCAGGAAATCTTGGGGATGACCTTGTCCACTGAGCTTTTCTGAAAACAATAAACTTACTCTCTTTAAATATATTACAAAAATTAAATGTTCATTTGAATGTTGTAAGTAAATTGCAAATGTTCTTTTTCTTTTTTTGGTCAGGCAAAACGAACACTGAAAGCCCAGAAACTCCAAGAAGAATTAGCCTCAGGAAAGTTAGTGGAACAGGCTGTAAGTAATAAAAATGATCAATAAAATTTCAGATCTTAGTAAAAGAGAAAATTGAAACAAACATTTAATTTAGTCCTGGCCGGTATTTCTCAGTGGTTAGAGTGTCAGCACTCACACCAAATGGTTTCAGGTTCAGTTCTTACTCAAGGGCATGTACCTAGGTTGCAGGTTTGATCCCCAGGCCCCCGGTCAGGGTGGTTGCAAAAGGACACCAATTGATGTGTCCCTCTCTTCCTCCCTACTTCCCTCCCTCTCTCTCTAAACATATCCTCTGGTGGGGATTAAAAAAAAAATTATATTTAATACTGCAAATCACATTCTTGTATATACCTCTTTATATAATTGACATATTGTTTGTTTATGATAAATTCCTAAAAGTGTAATTGTTGATGAAGTTAATATGTTTATTTAAAATTTTGATGACAGCTTCCATTCAGAAAGGCTATATGATACATATATAGTAATATACTATATACACTAGAGGCCCGGTGCACGAATTCGTGCACGGATGGGATCTGGCTGGCCTGGTGGAGGGTGGGGGGAGGGAACGCAGGAGGTTGGCCGGCTGGCCCCGCCCCCTGGTGAACTCCTGGTCAAGGGGACAATTTGCATATTAGCCTTTTATTATATACTAGAGGCCTGATGCGCAAAATTCGTGCACAAATAGGCCTTCCTTCCCCCAGCTGCCAGCACCGGCTTCCCTCTGACACCCGGGACCCGGGCTTTCCTCGGCCGCCGACAGGCATCTGGGACCCGGGCTTCCCTCGCAGCCCCAGCTTTGTCTGGGAGGACGTCCAGAAGGACATCCGGTCTAATTAGCATATTACGCTTTTATTATTATAGAGGATTTCTTTTTTTTACTCTTATTTATTGATTGATTGGTTTTAGAAAGAGAGAAGGGAGAGAGAGAGAGAAACATCAGTTTGTTGTTTCACTTATTTATGCATTTATTGGTTGATTCTTGTATGTGCCCCGACTGGGGATCTAACCCACAACCTTGGCATATCAGGACAATGCTCTAACCAACTGAGCTACTCAGCTGGGGCCCACATACACTTCTATGCTCCCCTACTAATGCTATAAGGTATTCTTTTTACCTTTGAATTCTTTTAAATGAACATGATGAAATACTGACTACTTTGCTATAGGTGTTCTGTGGAGTTAGAAAATCCTGAACAATTGCTAATGAAGAAAGTGTGTCTCTGTAACAAAGATTTCATACTCTCCTTAAATCACAATATGGTGTTACTTCAGTAGATTTCTTCATAGCCTAAATTTTATAAGAGGCTCTTTGGGCTCTAAAAATACTTTTTACATGATCCTAGTAACATTTTCTTTTTGGACTTGGTAGAAAACTAGTGAGGTATAATGAAAATGGTATGTCTAAGATTAACACATATGAAATGAATATTTATTGGGTACATTGGTCATTTTAATATTTCTATTTCCTTTGTGTGATTATAATTTTACTAGAGGCCTGATGCATGAAATTCGTGCAAGGGCCTTGGCCCAGCCTGCCACGGCCGGGGGCTCTGCCTCTGCCGCCTCTGCCTGGGCCCCCGCCCACTGCGGCTTTGTGCTGAAGGAAGGACGTCCGGTCTAACTAGCATATTACACTTTTATTATTATAGATATCAACAAAAATTCTCTAGAAATTTTCTGACTTCTAATAAGATAAACTATTCACAGGGACATACTTGTATTAAGAACTATGTGCTCATTATAAGTGAGAAATAGAATTTGTTCAGTTAGAGTTATTATATTATCTTATGTTTTTAAAGTGTTAAATAATCAATAGGTTTAGTAGAATAAAATACATTTTTTTCCTTCTGTCATAATGCAGAATTCTCCAAAACACCAGTGGGGAGAAGAGGAACCAAATTCTCAAATGGTAATGAATATTTGCCCTATCTGAGTATACGTTAAATGTTTTCCATTTCTGATGGCTAATATAATAATATCATTATTACTAATTATATTAACACAATTAATAATAGCCTTAAAGAACACAAGTGAATAAGGGTATGGTTAAAGGGAAATGAAAGGAAAACAACTAAATGCTATTCTTTTTTTCTTACTATTTTTTTTCCTCTCTTTCAGGAAAAAGATCATAATAGTGAGGATGAGGATGAAGATAAATATGCAGATGATATTGACATGCCTGGACAGAACTTTGACTCTAAGAGACGGATTACTGTTCGGAATCTCAGGATTCGAGAAGATATTGCAAAAGTAAGCCTGGCCAACTTAATGTACACATTCAACAAATATTTGTCTTCCCAGCTTAAATTTTACCTACTTGTCTGATATCTGGGCAGTATGTGGGCAGTATAGTCAGTCATTCCAAAATTAGGTGTCATTCTGGTTTTTTCCCTTCATCTGTGCCCCAGAATGCATTCACATATATAATTGGTTGTGATCAACTTCAGAAAATTTTAGTGTTGGGAGTAAACGTTAATGCAGCCTTCAAACTTTTTTATTCTAGTATTTGCGGAATTTAGATCCAAATTCTGCTTACTATGATCCCAAAACTAGAGCGATGAGAGAAAATCCCTATGCCAATGCAGGAAAGAATCCAGATGAGTAAGTATTGAGTTAAATGTACAGATTCGGGGTGTGTGTGTGTGTGTGTGGGTGTGTGTATTAACCGGGGAACATATGCATAGCCCATGGACACAGACAGTAGTGTGATAAAGGCTTGGGAGGGGCAGGTGTAGGGAGGAGGGAGTCAATGGGGAAAAAAACAACAAAACAAAGGGGACATTTGTAATACTTTCAAAAATAAAAACAAATTTTCAAAAACCACTCAAAACACCCAAAAAAAGTATAGATATCAAGATAATACTGAATCTGAATTAAAATGAACATTATCTATGATTGGATCAGAAAAGAGTTAACTTTCCTTAAAGAAATCAATCTCTGAAACAATTTCTTTTTTCCAATTTTTATTTACAGAGTGAGCTATGCAGGAGACAACTTTGTTAGATACACAGGTGATACCATTTCAATGGCTCAGACACAGTGTAAGTATTTGCTCCTTTTCAAGGCATTTTATATCAGCCCACAAGAAATTTGGGGGCATTTTAAAAACACTATAGAGCTGACGACTTATTAAGATGTTTTTAATTGCCCTAGTGTTTGCATGGGAAGCCTATGACAAGGGATCTGAAGTGCACCTGCAGGCTGATCCCACCAAACTAGAGCTCTTGTATAAGTCCTTCAAGGTCAAAAAAGAAGACTTCAAAGAACAGCAGAAAGAAAGCATCCTGGAAAAGGTACTTTTGACTAAAATGTTAAAGAAGGTTTCTTAAATGACCAGTAAATAATGACTTGATCTACATTTGAAATACAATCCAAAGAGAGTCCCTTTCAATCCATCAGGAATAGTACTTTCTTTCCATTGACTTAATCATTTCGCAAATAATATCAGTATAGCTGTGTCCCTGAGTTTTGGTAGCAAAACAAACCACCCCAAGACTTAGTAACTTAAAAATGCACATTTTTTTTTTTCATGAATCTGTGTATCAGCTGGATCTCCTGGTCTGGCCTGCTCATGTGAAGCTGGATGGTCTAGAATGGCCTGACTCTGATCTCCAGCAGTTAGCAGGCAGGTTGTCATAAGGGGGCTCGTCTCTGCCCCACCTGGGCTCTCCTCTAGAAGGCTAGTCCAGCTTCTTTCCATGGCATTCTCTGGATACCAGAGACTAGTAACAAAAAAGGTATGCCCCAGTGCATGAGTGATCTCCAGGCCTTTGCATGTATCGCATTTGTCAGTTTTCCATAGGTCACAACAAGTAATGTGGCCAAGCCCAGATTCAAGGAATGGAGAAACAGACTGTCTCTTCAGGGAAGGAGCAACAAAGTCATGTGGCAAGCGGGCACATGTACAGGATAAGAGGAATGTACTAGTGTAGCCACATTCAACAGATAAATAGCAACTGAGACATCTTGTATTTGCCTATGAAAATTTGGGAGCATTTTTTTTTTCACTTTGTTTTGTATAACAGGGCCTATAAAGAATGTTTCTTTAATCTTTCTGATTGGAAATAAACCTGTCACTAGAGAGTTAAATGCAAATATTTATTATAAAATGTATTTAACAATGTTCAATTTTTTTTAGTATGGTGGCCAAGAACATTTGGATGCTCCTCCAGCTGAATTGCTTTTAGCTCAGACAGAAGACTATGTGGAGTATTCAAGACATGGGACAGTCATTAAAGGACAGGAGCGGGCTGTCGCCTGCTCCAAATATGAGGAGGATGTGAAGATCCACAATCACACGGTATGTGTTAAGCCAGAACCATTCTGTGTCCTTGTTAGCATTATGCTCTGGATTGTATTTTTATATTATGACTTCATTATTAAATCATTGCTGTGCTTTTCTTTTTTTTACATTTTAAGTTTATGAATTTTTTTCCAAAAAATAGAAAAACTGTAAAAGAATACTCTTCTACTCACCCATATACCCACCACCTAGATTCAGAGTTTTTTTTACATGTTGCCATATACATGCTTCGTCCAGGTGTGTGCATGTACACATACTAAAATGTGTGTGTGTGTGAACTTTTTTTACTGAAACATTTGGAAATTACACATACCATGACAGTTCACCTATAAACACAATATTATGTAGCTCTTAAAATTAAGGATGTTCTTTTTTGTAGCTACATTACCAATTCAGAAAATTGACATTAGCTCCTTAATATCATCTAATCTCTTGGCCTTATTCACATTTTTTAAAATACATTCCAAAATGCCTTGAAATAGCTCTTTGGAGTTTTGTTTTGTTTTATTTTAGTCAGAATCCAATCAAAATTTATTTTGGTTGTTATGTCTCTTTTTTTCAGAATGTATCTTTCCTTTTTCATAACAGTGATTCTTTAACAGAGCAGGCCAGTTATCTTGTAAACTGTCTCATATTCTGTACTTGCCTGGTTTCTAGTGATGTTATAACTTTCCCTCTATTTCCTGTATTTCCTATAAATAGGAATTCAGACTTAAAGGTTTAATTAGATATGTTAAATATTTTGACAAGGACACTTCATAGGTGATACAAAATTCTTCATATTACATCTCTTTATAAAGTTTATAAGGTCACTTGCTGTATTCTTGAAACACCCAAGCTACAGTTGGCTCTCTAAGTTAGGGGTTAAAAGTTTAACTGCCTGGAGGAGCCAGGCTGGTAAACATACATAAGTGAAGTGAGCCAGGCACATTGTACAAAGTAGAGAGCACAAACCCTGTCTAATAGGACCATTCACTGTTCAACAACAGCCATTTCTTTCCAAGCAGGAATATGGGTCCAGGATTTCCTAGTCCTTAAATTTTCAGGGGAAGTCATATATCCAAATTTTTTTATATGTTTTGGGAATAGAATATAAGAGCACTGTCCTGTAATGCCTGCTTCTCGCACTTGAGGTCGGGCCAGCCTTTGCTTGTTAGCTAGCCCCAGAATCCCTATAATTTTCCTTCCAAATTACCTTTAAAGGGACTGTATTTTATACTTCTATCAACAATATGTGAGAGTCCCTAGTTCAGGTTCCATTTTAAGTAACATCTCTCTTTCTCTCTTTGTAGCATATCTGGGGATCTTACTGGAAAGAAGGCCGATGGGGATACAAATGCTGTCACTCTTTTGTCAAGTATTCCTATTGCACTGGAGAAGCTGGGAAGGAGATTGTTGTAAGTAATTGTCCTCTAGTTCTTACAATTGTAAAACAACCAAATCTCCTAAGTCAACCCTTTGTGAAACATATATTTCCTCATGCTTCAAATTTCAACTTTTTCTTACATGATTGATAACTATGATACTCAAGTCCAATTACATGTATTTCCCCACAGAATTCAGAAGAATGTCTTGTAGATGATATAACTGGAGAAGAATCCGTGAAAAAACCTCAAACCCTCATGGAGGTAAGTCTGTCATGATTTGTCCTGAGTTTTTAAATCTCTGAGGCAGGACTTTCAAACTTGCACTAGAGCTTTGTTTTTGCATTAAAAACACTATCTTTTAATCCTCCCTGTCAGATACATCAGGAAAAACTAAAAGAGGATAAAAAGAAGAAAAAGAAGAAGAAGAAGAAGCATCGAAAGAGCAGCTCAGATAGTGATGACGAAGAAAAGAAACATGAAAAACTGAAAAAGGTACTTTGTGAAGTCTAAATAGTTAAAGTGACACCAGTATTCATTAAAAATAAAGAAATGAGCTCCTCTTCTGGGTGATTTGCTCATGTCACCTTGTATCAGGTCTAGAACGTGAAGGAAGATTTTGTGTGTCTCCGTATTGCCTGCTTCTTGGAATATTTGACAAATACACTAAAGCACAGGAAAAAAAAAGTGCCTTGTAATTTTAGAGTTATTAACATGTTTCCCAGAAAGAATTGCCTTGGAGCTCTATAACCTGTAAGTTCCATCAACTCCTTGGGAGAAGTCAGAGTTGCATTCTTCACCAGAAACATCATTTGTGGGCTTCTGTCAGTAATGAACATCATTCAATTTTTGCTATTAAATAAAAATTCTTTTTTTTTTATTAACCCTTTATTTTTCTAGAGCAATTTTAGATCCAAGTAAATTGAGCAAAAAGTATAGCTATTTCCTATAATATCACATTTATAGCCTCCCATATTATCAACATCCCCCACCAGAGTAGTACATTGTTAAAATTGATGAAACTGTATTGATGCATCATAATCACCCAACATCTATATAGGTTTCAAGTGTACAATACTATAATATATCATCGTATATTGTGTTGTGTGTTTACCGCCCCAAGTCAAGTCTTCTTCCATCACCACTTACCCGCCCCCATCCCCCTTGATCATCTTAAGTAAAAATTCTTTAAGATTGAAAATACTGAAGAATGGTTGGGGCTCTATGAAAATAATCATATGAGCCAAATAGTGATTAGTTGCAGCTTGATAGAGGAAGGGCTGACTCCCAAGCCCTTTCAGGTAATCTAGGTTTTTGATGTAGCAGTTCATATTCAGTGGAGTCTTTTGCTTTTCTGCCACTTTGGAACAAAAGAGAACTGATGTAGAGCCATGGCACTCATGTTTTCTTTCTTTCTGCAGGCACTGAATGCAGAGGAGGCCCGCCTTCTTCATGTCAAGGAGCTCATGCAGGTTGATGAGAGGAAGCGGCCTTACAATATCCTGTATGAAACTCGGGAACCCACCGAGGAGGAAATGGAGGCCTATAGAATGAAGCGTCAGAGGCCGGATGACCCCATGGCCTCTTTCCTTGGACAGTAGTAACTAGTTGCAGATGGTCATTCATGGTAAACACAGCTGAAGATACATTCTTTTCAGCTTCTTGCCAGTGATTGTAGATGGAAAAATCAAGTGTCTGCTCATCTTGCTGCCTGACTTTAATAAAGCTTCCAGAAGTCTAACAGTAAATTCATTCCTTTCCATGCTGAAGGAATAGAAGAAAAACAAAGAGGAGGTACATTAAGAGCAGATTAAGATTTTTATTTCCAATTTTATATTAGTGATATGGAAAGAGGCCCTGGCTGGCTTGCTCAATATATTTATACCTTTCTGTCTCTATGCCCGCCCCCCCCCTTTCTCTCATCTTCCACTCAATAGTTAAGTCTTAAACTTTATTTTTAACGGTAGATTAATTTTTCTCAAAACTAGGGCTTTATTTTTTTTAATTAGTAACTATAATTGTTATTTTATAGTAATTTGTTTTTGCTTTCTAATGTTTTCCTGGTTTGCAATTAAAAAAAAAATTCTATCTGAAAGGAAATTTATAGAACATGTGAATAACTTTATTCACTTTGGTGGTAATTCTGTTTTTCACTCATTTATAAAATTTTAATTTTTAAAATACTTTCTTATGTCTTACACCCAGAACTAAACGTGTTAGCCTTTGAATGGAAAAATAGCTGTTTTGGCATTCTTGAGTCAGAGTTGACCAATCAGTGTTAGGTCTCTTACCATTCTATATAATAAAAGCATAATATGCAAATCTACCGAACTGTGGAGCTCACTGACCCACACTCAACACAGGAGCTGCCCCCTGGTGGTCAGTGCACTCCCACAAGGGAGTGCTGCTCAGCCAGAAGCTGGGCTCACGGCTGGAAGTGCAGAGGTGGTGGTGGGAGCCTCTCCCACCTCCGCTGCCAGCAGGCGGTAAGGAGTGAGGGGTCCCGGACTGCGAGAGCCCCGGACTGTGAGAGGGATGTCTGACTGCCAGCTTAGGCCCAGTCAGGTGGACATCCCCCGAGGTGTCCCAGACTGCAAGAGGGCGCAGGCTGGGCTAGGGATACCCCTTCCTCCCCCCACTCCCCCCCTAGTGTACAAATCTCATGCACCGGGCCTCTAGTTTTGGATATAAACATTTAGACACAGAAATCCTTTCCTTTATTCTAGAGGATATTGTTTGTGATACTATATTTTATTTTAATTGTGATTGCTTTTATGTAACAATCATGAATAATAAATTTGATTTTAAAAGCATATAGAATTTCCTTGTACCTAATCTTTGTAGCCAGCAGGTGTCACTGTAAAATTTGCAAAAGCAAAACCTAAAGTTAACGGTTTCTTCAAAGAATTATAAGGATAACTTGTAGGGCTACTCGCAACTGCAAATGCCATGATCCTTAAGCCTCTTCTAAGAACATTGTGAAAATACTGACAAGGAGAACAGGGTCTGTGAAAAAAAAACTAGTTAAAACCTTTGACATGAGAATATTGACTTTTAACACCTCGTTGGATTTTCTGAGCTACCAAAATCCACTAGGATACTGCATTAAGTTAGCATCTTAGAAATTCTGGTAGGAGAGTAACTGAATTGTCAAGTACTATGGATATCTGCATCGTATCTAGATTCAGGCTGGTATGAAATTAAAATAGCAATGCAAATAGATCTAATTCTTACCCACTTTAAAAATGTCAAAAGTTAATGTTTTCATATTCCTACTTTAACGTAGGATAGTTCAGCATAAATCTGAGATTGGTGTTTATTTTTTATTTTATTTTATCTTCTGTTAATAAAGATTTATAATTGAGAATACTTAACTATGAATGGTTTGTAGCATTATTTCAAATATTTGGTAGAAAACTGGTTGCTGATAGGGCTCCAAGGAAGCCTGTGTTAGCTTATGTGAGTTTGAATCAGAAATTTTCAGGGTTCTTTAACGCAAAAAAAAAAAAAATGTGTCACCTATCCTTTCTGGGCCTCTGTTCCCTCTTCTGTGAAGCCTAATTTACTCTGATTTTAGGAAGAATTCTGTAATATCTGAAATCATGTCTTATTTCTGTTTCAATTCAGAAAAAAGGGTAATCCCAAAATATTACTCAAGATAATGTGCTTTGATTTTATCAAAAATAGCTGCTTTTTGATAGCTGCTTTTTGAGTGCTGGCACTCTGTGCTGTAATTTTCATATATAACATCTCCTCAAAGAACTGCATGGGGCCCTGGCTGGTGTGGCTCCTTGGTTACCGTGTCACCCCCTCCCACACACACACATACACACTGAAGGTTCGTGGATTAGATTCCTAGTTAAGGCCATGTACCTGAGGTTGCAGGTTCACTGCCCAGCCCATCCTGATGCATGCAGGAGGCAACCAATCAAGGTGTCTTTCTCACGTCAATGTTTCCCTTCCTCCCTTCCATTCTGTCTAAAATCAACGGGGAAATATCCTGGGGAAAGATTAACAAAAAAGAAAGAAAACTGCATGGGGTAATGGATGGTATCCCTACAATAAGCACTTTGGCTTAATGAATCCAAGTCATTTGCTCAGGGCCTAACAGTTCAAAGTGTTGGCCCCAGGATAGGAAGCCAGGTATCTCTGACTCCAAAGCCAACTCTTCTCTAGTATTTAAGTTCCTGGTTCCTGGGCAGGAATGCTGTCTTCTGCAATTTCTTCCATTAACAGAAACCTTGAGCAGGCCCTCAGTCTTGCCCAAGTTCGCCCTCAACACCTGAAAAGGATGCATCTGCCCCACACTCTTGAGCACTTGCTAGTCCCCCAGCCTTGTGGGATGCTTCCGACATGATTGACTATCCAAAAAATGAAATATTTCCTGAAGAATTCTGGGTGAAAATACCATCCAAATAAGAAAAAGGGCTATAATTGTGTCTGTGGGTTTTTTTAAAATATATTTTTATTGATTTTGGAGAGGAAGGAAGGAAGGAGAGATAGAAACAACAAGGATGAGAGAGAATCATTGATCATCGGCTGCCTCCTGCACGCCCCCCACTGGAGATGGAGCTGGCAACCCCGTTCTATCCGCTGGGCCAAACCGGCTAAGGCTGGGGTTTTTGTTTTTTACAATGTTTTCTAGTTTCTCTGATCTAGCTTTACTACTTTAAAGTCCTATTTAAGAGAAGTATAAATAAAAATCTTTTCTCGAGAGAAACATCGACCAGCTGCCTCCTGCACATCTCCTACTGGGGATGTGCCCGCAACCAACGTACGTGCCCCTGACCGGAATCGAACCCGGGACCTTTCAGTCCGCAGGCCGACACTCTATCCACTGAGCCAAACCGGTTTCGGCAGGGTTTGTTTCTTTAAACAATGTTTTCTAGTTTCTCTGATCTAGCTTTACTACTTTAAAATCCTATTTAAGAGAAGTATAAATAAAAATCTTTTCTCTAAGATGGAGGATGATTCTCAGGAAATTCATCCACACTCAAATTTATGGAAGGAGTGGGGGGTGACCAGCGTGGGCAAGAGGACCTAAGCTCTGTCCCGTTTGCCTGGAAGTTTGATTTGGGAGTATAATGAGCCTCCTCTCATTCGTCACTGATTACACTTAGAAAATGGTAAATTATTAGAGCTTTACAAGTTCAAAGCTTGACACGCGATAAAATTTTATTTCCAGTGCTCTGAAGAATAGTGTAGACTATACACTGCCTGCCATTCTTTAGACTCTACTTTTCTGGCACATACAATACACAAAAAATTTCCAGCTCCACGTACACAGCCAAAAAAAAAAAAGCGGGAGGGGGGGAGGTGAGGGGGGACGGCCAGTGCGCATGCTCCTTACCCGAGCCAGCCCGGCCCTCAGCAGGTTGCTAACGCGCCTGCGTGCCCCGAGCCGCCTCGCCCAGTCTGCGGGGCGGGAAGCCACCGCAGAACCCGGATGGAAGCCCGGCGCGGCCGGGGCGGAGGTGGCGGCGGGCGCGTCTGTGTCACCCGGGTTCCTGCTCCGGGTTCACACCGAAGGAACCGCCGCCTGGACTGGTTCCGGCGCCCAGAGGCTTGGGCCTCAGTCTAGCGGACAGTGGCCTGGGGCCTGAAACGGGCGCCTCCGAGAAGCCCGAGCGTCCTTTGAGCCTGCGCCTCCTGCTCGGAGACGGGCGGGTGCAGACCGAGCAGGTGCTCCTTCCTCGCCGCCGGCGCCCTTCGCTCGTCTGGGCCGCCTCCTAAGCAGCGTCCGTAATAATAGCACCAACAGGTCCTTCCTACCACTTCCGAGCTGCGTGTGCTTTCCGCGCATGCTCCTTACTAGACATCCCCGCGACCCTCCCAGGTAGGTACTATTGTCAGCCCAGCCCCAGCCCCAGCCCCAGCCTGTGAGGGACAAAGCCAGGACCACAGGCTTTTGCCTCTGGAGCGTTTGCTCGTCCCTTTTCTCCTGGCTATTTGCTTTTAACTGTAAAATGAAATGATTTAAATCCTCTGCCTGCCCAGACACCCGCACCTCCCGCGGACTCGCAGATAGAAGTTGAATGGAATTTGGTTTGGAGTTTTAGGTTTACAGCTGTACTTTGTTGTTGTCACTGCTGAGATGTGTATGTGTTAGCATTCCCCAAATAATTCTGTTATGTGACTGTCCACCTTTTAACTGTTTTTTTTTTCTCTCTCAATCGTAATACTTTTTCATATCTTCCCTTCTGCTTCAAAAACCTGCAAAAAGCATTCTACTTTGTTATATCAGATCTCTCGTTTTGAATCTCAAAAGAAGTCTGTGTTACAGAATTTTGGAAACTTTGGGGATCACTTATATTTACCTGGGAAATAAAATTGTTTCTAAGGTATATTTGAGCCTACCTTTGTGTTATACCTTTGCTCATTGTTCAGGAGGGAAAAAAGAAAAAGGAAGTTGTCATCGATTCAGAAAACTTAAATGCCTATTAAAGCATTTAGACTGTTTACTTAGCAACCTAGAACACCTGCCAGCTAGAGACTGGCCCCAACGGTACGTTTTCATTCCTCTCAGTCTGACTGTAGAGTAGGATCTGTATCGGAATCGCCTGGATAACTTCCTTTTTGATTCTTTTGTCCTATTCTGGAGATGATCTATTAGTTCTAAGGTAGGACATGGGCATGTATACTTTCAAAGGGGATCCCAGTGATTATGATGGGCATCTCTTGTTAGAGATTACTGTTTTAATTACTCTTCACAAGGATGATCTAAAAATGCTTATTTAGAACACAGATTCTGGGCCCCTATTCCAGAGCTAGAGAATGGGAATCTCCAGGGGCGACGCCCAGGAACCTGCATTTTAGCGCGAGACTTAGATGATTCCTCCATTTACTAAACTGGAAAACCACTGCCTTGGATTAAGGCAAATCTTAGAAATGTTGCTTATTTTCCTTTTGTTGTGGCTTTTCTTAACTGCCTTTACTAAGTGATAGTTACATGAAAAAGCATCATGAAATTGCTCGTAATGAAGAGAATGAGAGAAATTTTTCTGAAGTCTTGGTAACAAGAATAGTTGTGTTTCTCCTAAGCAAATTGTTTTGCTTTTCTATATAAACAGTATGAGTCATGTTACACTTTAGCAGCAGGAATCTCTGAGCCAAATTTGTGTCCTGCTTCTATGTGGAGAAAGGCTTAGAACTGTAAGAAATTTTCTGCTTAAGTTGGAGTCAAAGCCACTCAAGGATCAAGTGGTTTTACAGACCTGTTTAGTCCTTAACTATTAAAAAGAAATAGCCACCTGTCAAAATATCTGCCCTTTCTTAAAGTATTTAGTGAATTATTTCCTTCTCTATTCAGTGCTTCATAACAGGGGTGTGCATACATTATTGGCCCAAGATGGAAGGAGGGGGTGGTAGTGAGATGTCCTTTTCTGTGAGAACAAAATGTACCAGATATGTTTGGAACATACATCTTTGAAAACAAATTAAGCCATAACTGCAGTTCACCAGTAGAGGACTTAAGGGTATTCACAACTTGCATAAACCCAAACCTCCCGTATATAACTTGCTGGCAAGTCACATATTCCAGGACTTTAGCTGTGAGTTTTAGCTTTCAGTTGGACTGTCATGCCGTCATGGCTTACTTTGAACTGACATCTATCTTACAGGATATTTCTTGACATGAACACAGATTGACAGGATGGCATGTAATGTGGCATTGTTTTAATTTGGTTAGCCACTGATTTTTAATGCATGGGTTATATTTTACTCCCAAAGCAAAATTCTGCAGCATCTCTGGAATACTACCTGAAAATTTGGGGGTACCATGTCGAAGAAACGCAAATGGGATGATGACTATGTTCGTTACTGGTTCACCTGTACAACGGAGGTTGATGGAACTCAACGCCCACAATGTGTCTTGTGTAACTCGGTATTTGCAAATGCTGACCTCAGACCATCAAAACTGTCTGACCATTTCAACAGACAGCATGGTGGTGTCGGTGGGCATGACCTCAATAGCCTGAAGCATATGCCCACACCATCTGACCAGAACCAAACCGTGAAAGCATTTGGAGTTGCATCTCAAGAGGATACCTTGTTACAAGCATCCTATCAGTTTGCGTATTTATGTGCCAAGGAGAAGAATCCTCATACAATAGCTGAAAAATTAGTGAAACCTTGTGCATTGGAAATAGCACATATAGTTTTGGGACCAGATGCACAAAAGAAGCTTCAGCAGGTCCCCTTATCAGATGATGTGATCCATTCCAGAATTGATGAAATGAGCAAGGATATCTTACAGCAAGTTCTAGAAGATATCAAAGCCAGTCCTCTTCAAGTGGGTATTCAGCTTGCTGAGACCACGGACATGGATGACTGCAGTCAGCTAATGGCATTTGTGCGATACATAAAAGAAAGAGAGATCATAGAAGAATTCCTGTTCTGTGAACCATTGCAGTTAACAACGAAAGGAAAAGATGTGTTCAATCTCTTCAGAGACTTCTTTTTGAAGCATAAGATAGCACTCGATGCATGTGGCTCTGTTTGTACTGATGGTGCCTCATCTATGTTAGGAGAAAACTCAGAATTTGTTGCTTGCGTGAAAAAAGAAGTACCTCATATTGTGATCACACATTGTCTGTTGAACCCTCACGAACTTGTCACAAAGACATTGCCTACAAAGCTGAGGGATGCTCTGTTTACTGTTGTGAGGGTAATAAATTTCATCAAAGGGCGAGCTCCGAATCATCGCCTGTTTCAGGCTTTTTTTGAAGAGATTGGAATCGAGTATAATGTCCTCCTCTTCCATACGGAAATGAGGTGGCTTTCCCGAGGCCAAATACTTACTCATATTTTTGAAATGTATGAAGAAATAAATCAGTTTCTTCACCACCAAAGCAGTAATTTAGTTAATGGCTTTGAAAATAAAGAGTTTAAAATTCACCTAGCCTACCTTGCAGATTTATTCAAACACCTAAATGAACTTAGCGCATCTATGCAAAGGACTGGGATGAATACAGTATCAGCTAGAGAGAAGTTATCTGCTTTTGTTAGGAAGTTTCCATTCTGGCTAAAGCGAATTGAGAAAAGAAATTTCACTAACTTTCCTTTTCTTGAAGAAATAATTGTTTCAGATGATGAAGCAGGAAGCATTGCGGCTGAAATAACACTGCATCTGCAACTGCTGAGCAGCTCCGTCCATGGGTATTTTTCTGTGGGAGATCTTGATGAAGCGAGTAAATGGATACTGGATCCGTTTCTTTTTAATCTGGATTTTGTTGATGATGGTTATTTAATGAAAAATGATCTTGCTGAATTACGAGCTAGTGGCCAAATTTTAATGGAATTTGAGACAATGAAGCTTGAGGATTTCTGGTGTGTTCAATTCACAGTGTTTCCAAACCTGGCAAAGACAGCACTAGAAATCCTTATACCATTTGCCTCAACATACCTTTGTGAATTGGGATTTTCATCACTTTTACATTTTAAAACAAAGTCCAGAAGCTGCTTTAATATGAGTGATGACATTCGTGTGGCTATTTCAAAAAAAGTTCCTCGTTTCTCAGACATCATTGAACAAAAGCTGCAGCTACAGCAGAAGTCACTGTAAACTGCTATGCTTTTTTAATGTATAAGTTTTAATATATTCTTAATTCCACTGTAAAATTAAGCTACTAATTCTGTCTCTTTCCTTTTATGGTATACCGAATCCTATGTTTAAAAAATTTAGCATCTTTAACTTTTAGTTTTCACATGAGTCATGTGAAAATATGTTTTAATAATAAGAATGCAAGCAGCAGAAAAGATTTAAGTACCACTATCTCGTTGATACATAGGATTCTTCTAAGTATCTGTCTAACCGGTTGATGTGATACATTAGAAAAGACACCAAGCACTAGAACATCCAGCTAAATGGTGCAGTATTCTAAGGAGTGGAGCCAAGAAAAAAAGAGAAGACCCCTCCAGAACACCCATTTTCATGTTAAGAGTAAAAGTCAAAGGACAGAATGACAGACTGAGTCTTCCTATGTCTGTGAGGGTTGTTATAGGCAGGTTAATAAAATCAGAAGATAATTATGAAATGTTCTAGTGCAGTGGTCGGCAAACTCATTAGTCAACAGAGCCAAATATCAACATTACAACGATTGAAATTTCTTTTGAGAGCCAAATTTTTTAAACTATATAGGTAGGTACATTGTTATTAACTTAATTAGGGTACTCCTAAGTTGGCCTTTGCTAAAAACGCCCTCAGTCTGATTGAGGTACGTTCGCTGAGGTCGACCCCTTCCAACTCTCCCATCCACACTCGTCTTGTATACTTGTTTCATCTATCTCCTTTCCGAAAACCGACTTCTGCGCATGGGCCACGAAGTTTCAATCGCACTGTACGTCCGTGCCCGCACGTGGTATTTTGTGGAAGAGCCACACTCAAGGGGCCAAAGAGCCGCATGTGGCTCACGAGCCGTGGTTTGCCGACCACTGTTCTAGTGGGAGAAGGGATGATTCTAGTTTGTATAGGATTTATTTTTAAATGTATTCTTCAGAGTTAGTCCCACAGTGTCCAGTCCTCTAGCTACCATGCTCTAAATATGACATTAATAAACATCCTAATATCCTGTTAGTCACTCTGTCTTCTTTTAAATTACATCAGGACTCCAAGTCATGGAGGCTGCTAAAAAGGCGATCCCAGAGCCTTACGCTAGAGATTCTGAGTTAGCTGGTCTGGGATATAAGCAAGGATCCTCATTCTTAACCAGCCTTCCAGATGTTCTGATGGAGTTGTTGGTCATCATGCCTCATTTCTTTTACACTTATTTTCCCTTTATCCCAGTTTTCTCTTTTATTTTATATCTTTGTATATTTTTTAACATAGTTTAAAACTTTTAAATGGACCAGAATATGAATAATAAATAAATTGACATGAAGTCATTATAGTAATTAAGGGTCATCAGAAAGTTAGCCCTGGGAGTTTAAGTTGATGTACTCTTTCTAAATGATAATTTGGCAAAATATATTTTAATTTAAATAAATTTACTTTTTTTTTTCAAAACTGTAATGTTTCATCAAAGTACTGGAAGCTCAAGGCTGGGGGGAAAAAACGAGTCCTGTAATGAAAAGCTGCAGTCGCCCTGGTCGGTGTTGCTAAGTGGTTAGAGCGTCAGCCTGCACACCGAAGGGTCACGGGTTGGATTCCTTGTCAAAGGCACATACCTGGGTTTCACGTTTGATCCTGATTGTGGGAGGCAAACAGTCAATGTCTCTCTCTCTCTCTCCCCTGCCTTCCACTCTAAAAGTGTCGATGGAAAAATATCTTTGAGTGAGAATTAACAAAAAAAAAAGAAAGAAAAAAAGAAAAGCCTCAGTCTCCTCCCACCCAATTACTTTAAGCATTTCTGCTGTAACTTTCTGTGGTTCTACCCATATAGCTAAGAAATATGTTTATACCAAACACATATGCCAGTTTTGATTTATCAGTTTTAGAATTTATATATTGACTCCTCTAGATAATAGGTAAGGATTGAATTTCTAAAGCATCCATCTCCTCTCCTGCTACTCTTAATTTTTTTTATTATTATGACACTAATTTTAGTTCCTCTATTGATTATTCATAGCTCTTTGAGGATTTTTCCCTCTAGGAATTTATCACATGGGGATAAAGAATCGGGGATTTCCACAAAGTTTTATTTATGAGGTGGGTGATCACAGCATTTAATAATAGTGAAAACTTGGGGGGTGGGGGGGGACTAGAGGGGAATGGAATGTGACTACCACTTGAAAACTGTAAATTTAAGTTTATATTGTCTACACAAAACTAAACATCACCATCAAAATACTTGTGTCAATAAATACATGCCTTCTTTCATTTTAAAATGTAGTTACAAAGTATGTCTTCATTGTTCCTAGTGTAATCTAATGTCAAAGACAGTTGGGAAATTTTCCAAAGGTAATAAAGGAAAAAATCTGGATGAGTATGTATAATGCTTGATATGTTGGCATGATGAGGCTGGCTCTGGAAGTGTGAAAACTGAACATTGAAAACAATTAGTTTCTACTGCAACTGGAACTAATGCTCATGCCAGGGTGAAGAACCACTGCAGAGATGATACAGCAATAGGAAGCTGAAGAAGAAGAAACAAGTCCCTGGCCCTCCCTCTAGATTTACACTATCTCTCTTGCATCTCTTATTTGCACAGCCTTACAGAAATCTAGGTAATGAAGAAATGTACTCAATGGGATTATAATCCCAGCATCTCAAAGCAGATTATAGAAAGTATAGAAGGATGGATTTGAAGATGAAAGATAATAATTTAACCAGCACATTCTACCCCTTTGGCTATTTTAGCATCCATTCAGCCCTTTCTATCCATATTTGAATTTCTATACAATAAACATAACTTTGTGGGGGTTTTAAGGTGTAACTATTCTTTGTACAAATGAGGATGCGCTCACCTTCTTTCCAGAATGAGGAGACACAAAGTCTCAACTCACTCAAATTTAGTAGCAGTCCCATTAATCTGTTGCCTAAAAACCAGCCCCAACAACCAAGTTTGGTTTTCTTGGGGTGTGGGGGCAGGTATAGAGGAGGTCTCTAGGTATAAATCACCTGTGTTAAAATAAACAATGATAACACACTGGTACAAACCACCCTGAAATTCTTCAGAAACTTGGTTACAACACTATTCATCAGGATGTGTCGTGCCTTAACCAGGCCAATTTCAGGCCCCCTGGCACTAACCCTCACAGCACATGCCCAGAAAGGTCAGTGACAGTCTCAACTTCCAATTCAGTTGAACCACTTACATCCCCTGGTGAAAGCATTTCTCTTGGGAACCAAGATTTCTAAACCATGAGTTCAGAGCTATATCAATGGGAAGCAAAAATTCTTTGAGTTATTAGATACAATAGTCAAAGTCACTCCCACATCTAACCCTTCTGGACCAATGCATTCTGCCTTGGAAATGAAACAAAACCATACTCATTGGTTACCAACTCAAAGCACATATTGCATCCTAGAAGACTGAACCTTATCCTGTTAGGTTATTTTTTCCCAACAGCAAGTGTCTGACTCTTAAGTAAATCATTCTGTCATTCAAACAGACCAGGTTTATCTGGGTGATGAAGTACATGACAAGACCAATAAATTGCACAGGAAGCAATTTGTTTCCACACTCTGTTATGGAATAAATGTGTCCACCCTAAAATTCATACGCTAAAACCGTAACCCCCAATGTGATGGTATTTTGAGGTGGGGCCTTTGGAAGGTAATGAGGATGGGACCCTGGCTGAATGAGATTAGTGCCTTCTTTAGAGACAACAGAGAGCTTGCTGTCTTTCTGGAGTACAAAGGAGATCATATGAACACAGAGAGAGATGGAGACCACTTACAAGAAGAGGCTTCAGAGTGAAAGCTACCTTGTCACACCTTGATCTTGGATTTCCCAGCTTCCAGAACTGTGGGAAATAATGTTTACTCAGTCTATGTATTTTGTTATGGCACTCTAAGCAGAATAGCATACACTCCTTTGCTAGTCCTTGATGAGGTGCAATTGGTACATGATACGTGACAGTTAATAAAGTTGGCAGAAGTACTAAAAGCAATCCTTATCCAGATTATGTGTCTTTTCCATTGAGAGTGAATTACTGCCCCTTCCATGATAGAAGGAGTAGAATACAATTAGCCTGCTACCAAGTGTCCATATCAGGGCTCAGTGTTGGTCTCTGCTCTCTGCTGTTAGCAGGTCAGGCGCTCAGTAGGTCAGTCTTGATGAGGAGAAGTCCATGTTGATGACCCTGTGAGTAAGCCTCCATCCTTGCCAACATGACCACTCTTTACAGGGGCCTGTTGAGCAATTGTTAGGATGGCTGGAGAAAGACTAATAGCTATAAAGTACATCATCGTGTCCTCACAATTATTGAGAGACTCCTCTGTTAATTTAGGTTCAGCAAAGCCATCAGAAAGTCCCCAAGTGAAAGCTGTCACAGGAGACCCATATGTGCCTTAGTATTCCTGCCAGTCTTGGTTACTTACTGGGAACAGTCCAGGTACAGTGATGAATTTCAGAATGCAGTAGCCGGGACTCATGGATAATTACATTCCCTATAGTTGTATGCACAGTACATTCTCATGATTGCACAGTGTCCTTTGATGAGCATTCACCTGGAGCACAATAATACTCCATTCTCTGCCTATTGTGCAAGATCCATCCACATACTTCACCCCCAGACCTTCTTGTCCCTTCTCTTATAAATCCATTTCAAGTCCCTGGCCATTCATCAAGTTATTAGTAACTGCATTTGAATATTGGAGTTTAGACTGGGTAGCATTCAGTTCAGTAGACAACCAAATGCACTGCTCAAAATTCTGCTCCCACTTAAGATTTCCCTTCATTTAAATCTTTCAGAGACACCTAATTGGGGGTGTAAAGTTGTAGCCATTTTGGCAAAAACCAGCTGGTGCTCACATATTGGGCGGACTAAACTGAAAACCAGGCCTAAGTTGCTTTGTTCTAGTCAGCTGTTCATAAGGAACACTCCATGCAGCCAAAGTTATAGATTGAGAAAAAGGAAGCCTTGCAACAGGATTAGGTGTTAAAGCAGTTGGGCCAGTTACTCAGGCAACCTGTTTGTGCCTTCCTGACCTGCTTGATCTCTATCCCTTGAATATCATTTCCACGTGATGACGGATTGTTGCTGTGCACACTCCAATTCATGACTTGCTGGGCCACACAGCACCCAGACCCACTGAGCCTTTTCTCAAAAGGACAATAGTTATCTTCAAAAGAGGGAATGATTTGCTCTAAAACCCTAGAGGCCCATGCTTTGACTCTCCTTTGTCAGAGGCTCCATACAGAATCCCTATTTGCCACATACAGGTGACATTGGACCTTCAGGGACTTCAGTCTCAAGCAGCAAAGTAGCTGGCACCACAGCATGGGCTCCCTGCAAGGTCGTCTTCCCTCCACTCAGGACTGGCAGTGTTACGGAAAGTGGGTCAGAGTGACACATGCAAGTGTGGTAAGTGTTGCCTCCAAAAGGCCCACCAAGCATTATGCCTCTGTTGTAGTATGTGATGCAAGGTACAGCAACCTGTTCTTCACCTTGAACTATTGCAGCATGCTCCAGACCACTAGCCCATCAGAAACACCACCCAGGTGGGTGAGCCCCTGAGTTTGTATAGAGTCTGTCTCCCACTCTCTGACTCGCATGCATTTTACTAAGGCGTCTAAAATACTTGCGACTGCCTTCTTATCAGAACTAATCTGCATGTCGTCAGTGAAGTGGACCGGTATGATGTACTGTGAAAGGTTGTGATGATCAAGATCTCAGCAGAGTACATTCTGGCAGACCGTGTACTTGTTCCCTTGAAATATGCTGGATCTGACCCTACTTATGGGTCTAGTGGCAGCAAGGAGTTGGGGTAGGTCTTAAGAAGTAGAGGCATCTCCTTGAAAGGCACCTGCCTCAGGTGAGGTTATTAGAGGGACTTCAAGCAAAGGAAGCCTAATCTCAGACATGGGAGGTGAAGGCGAGGAAGGCTCAGTGATTTGGGGCAGTGGTCGCCAGCTGGTGGTCCGTGGACCATTGGTGTCCGTGAGGTCTGAAAGGTTGGCGACCGCTGATTTAGAGGTTAAGATTTTCAGCTTCATCAGAGGCCATGCAGATGTCTTCATTCCAAGTCTTGGGGACACTTTCCCAACCCTCATTCTAACTTCCACTGAAAGTTGTAAGCAGTGAATTTAATTTACATTTAATCTGCAACTCTCACAAATATATCTGAATTTGTTGGGTTTTTAAAAATATTTTTATTGATTTCAGAAGGAAGAGAGTTAGAAACATCAATAATGAGAGAGAATCATTGATTGGCTACCTCCTGAACACCCCACACTGGGGACTGAGCCTGCAACCCTGGCATATGCCCTGACCGGGAATTGAACTGTGACCTCTTGGTTCATAAGTCGATGCTCAACCATTGAGCCACATTGGCTGGGCTGTATCTGAATTTGCAGCTATAAGAGATTTGAGATACCATATTTTTCTGTGTATAAAACACCTCCATGTATAAGACACCCCCACTTTTCCAACCCAAAATTAAGAAATCAATATCTTAAACATTTTGCTGGTTTTCCTCTTAAGGCCTTCTTCTTTTTTGGCATCTTGAGTTGTTCTTCCTGTTTTCTCCACTGTCTGATCAAACACTCAGTGGGAGGAGGTCCAAATTGTCTCTCTGCAGCTCTATTTCCATGCTCTTTTGCATAGCTGATTACATTCAGTTTGAATTTTGCAGAGTAAGACAATCGCTTACTGGTATTTATCTTTTTATTTTTTGACATCTTTATGGGCTCAGAACGTTCAGGTCCCTGTTGTATCTGCACACTCTCCACCTCCACCTCCAATTATGGCATCAGCTGATGTCAGTAACAATAAGTCTCGTGGTTGGAGGAGGCCTGTTTGACAAGGTATGGGCAGCTACACACCCACATAGCTCCCTCCTCGGCTGACTTCATGTATAAGACACCCCTCGGTTTTCAGTCTAACGATTTTAGAAAAAAATAGTGTCTTATACAGGGAAAAATACAGTACTTTTAGGACCCCCCTCCCCCCCCATAGAACTCTATAGTTCTCTAACTGGGACTTGAGCTGAGATATTAGAGGGCTGAGTGTGTCCTTTCCTTTCTGTATGCACACCAGGGCAGTCAGAAGGAGGCACCTGCCCCAGTCCTTGTAGTCATCATTGTTCCCAGCAGCCAGTTGGTCCCCCAGGGCACCTACTTCAGGAAGCTCTTCATCACAGTAATTAATCAGTGCCACTCCATGCCACTGGATTCCACATTTCATTTTCATGACAAGGAGCTCAACATTGCATTCAAGTCTAAAGACAAACCCCTACACCTGAGAAAATGTCATCTTTGAGGATCTGTTTCCTGAGGCTCCTGGTACAAATTTCTGATCAGTCAAGGTTCAGTCAGGAGACACAAACTTCTCCAGTCACAACTGCTAAAGATAAAAAACTTCTTTCTAGCCGCTAGCTAAATTTCATTTATTCCGTTTAATCATGCCTCATTTTCTCAGTCTGGGATTTCTGCTTTTCTTCCAAGCCAAAAGGCAGGGTTAGACGCTTTATTTCTAATATTTCCTCCCAAAATGATGCTGGGAAAGCCCTGGTTTCTCTACTCATCCATAGGCTGCTTTTTCAAAGCTTGATTCTATAAAGCAGGAGCCTCGAGCCCTTCTTAGTGGGACTTTTTCTCAAATCAAACGTCTGTTCATTTCGGATCCTCACACTGAGTTGTGAAACCTCATCAAGAACTTATTGCATCAGATTCCAAAACGAGGTCTCCCCAACTGAGGCCCTTCGAGTTACATCTGGAAATGAGCTGGATCTTTTCTGGGTCATTTCCCGTTGAATGTGAATCATGTCTATTTTGGTCTGACTCCGTTTGTACTGGGGCTCTAGCTGCCTCAGGGCTTTAACTCTCATGAAACCTTAGGCCAGAAAAGCCTCTCAGAACTCCCTGGTTCTTCTTTTTCTTCCCAGGAAAACTGCTCTGTGCAGCTAAATAGGGTCCTGTGGAAGGAACCTATGACTGGGTCAGATCCGCACTCACAGCCCAACTCTGCCCCCCACTCCCTGTGTAACCCTGGGAAGATGGCCCGCTTCTGTGCCTTGGTTCCTTCAACTGTACAATGGGAGAAATATTTGTCCCAACCTTGGAAGATTGGAACAGCCTACTCTTTGAAACGTGTGTTTTTTAAATACAAGTATATAATAGTTGAGGGTTTATGATTATTAACTCTCTAACCTCTCTGCCATGTCCCCAGGTCCAGCTTATCCGTAGCAGCAAAGGAAGAATTTCCAAGAAATGGAACACAGCATGTACTTTGTTTTATTTTTAAAAAAATATATTTTATTGATTTTTTACAGAGAGGAAGGGAGAGGGATAGAGAGTTAGAAACATTGATGAGAGAGAAACATCGATCAGCTGCCTCCTGCACACCCCCTACTGGGGATGTGCCCGCAACCAAGATACATGCCCTTGACTGGAATCGAACCTGGGACCCTTCAGTCCGCAGGCCGACACTCTATCCACTGAGCCAAATCGGTGAGGGCTACTTTGTTTTAATCCTCACCTGAAGATATTGGGGGGTTTTTTAAATTGATTTTTAGAAAAAGAAAGAAAGAGAAACACTTTTTTAAATGTTTATTGAGGAAAGGGGTGTCCATAATTCATAGACTTTCATGGTTTTAAAAATAAACTGTTCCAAAAGTCATACAGTGAAAAATGTCTCCCTCTTGACACTGTTTTCCAGTTCCCCAGTCCAGAGACAACATCTTGTATCACAGTTTTTTGTACATCCTTCTGGAGTTCGATTATACTCCTACACCCATGTGTTTGTGTGTTTTCCTCACCTCTTCTTTTTTTAAAAAAATATATATACATTTTTTATTGATTTTTTACAGAGAGGAAGGGAGAGGGATAGAGAGTTAGAAACATCGATGAGAGAGAAACATCGATCAGCTGCCTCCTGCACGCCCCCTACTGAGGATGTGCCCACAGCCAAGGTACATGCCCTTGACTGGAATCGAACCTGGGGCCCTTGAGTCCGCAGGCCAATGCTCTATCCACTGAGCCAAACCGGTTAGGGGTCCTCACCTCTTCTTTATGGAACTTGCATGGTAGAAAACGAAACACACTCTTTTCTCACTGTCTCAGAGATAATTCCATAATAGTACATAGAGGTCTGCCTCTATTACTTAATTAGTCCCCTATTGCTAGGCATTTTGATTGTTTACAGTCTTTTATCAGTTCAAACAAGGTTGCCAAGAACATCCTCATACTCCCAGGATAAGTTACAGGAAAGAAAACAGCTATGTCAAAAAATAAATCGTATATGTTTTCATTTTTATAAAACTGCAAAGCTTTCCTTGCAGTTTAGCTGTCATCTTGCTCCATTCTAAGTGACAACATGCACTCCACCATCAGCCTTTCTGTGGAATGGCAGCGAGTCCTCTCCATCTACAGCTGTCCCTAGTACTGCGACATTAGCGAGACTGCGCTTGGGAAAATCTCATGCTGGAGAGCCTCGCAGCTCCAACGCCCCTTGCTGCAAGTAAATATTGACAGCTTGGATCGTGGCCATTAGCTGTTTGGAATGATTCAACAGCCATTTTAAACACGCTTTTGCACCAAAATCAGAGTAAAGAAAGGGTTGAAAAAAGGCAAACAGGAAGGTCTACATTTATTGTAAAAAGTATTACATAGGTCCTTTTCCCTCCATTAACCTCCTCCAGCCCGCTCCCATCCACCCCCTACCCCCGCCCCCAGGCCCTCACCACCCCATTGTCTGTGTCCACCTGTTATGCTTCCCACCCACTCTCCCCTGCCTTCTCTCTGAGGTTCAACAGTCGGAAAGTCTACATTTTAATAATGGATGCAAGACAAAATGACCTTGGACTTTATCTTGACTCCACAACTATCAAGTCACTGAAGGTCTCTGGACCTCTTTGTCCTTGTGTGTGAAATGAAGACTACAGACCAAATTATTTCCCAGGACCCTTCCTGCTTTGAGATTCTGAAGATTCAGATGGAGTGAAGGTCAGGGGGACTTGTCCTCCCAACCTCACTGTATTCAAAAAGCACGAGATGTTGCAAATCAGTACGTTATTAATATCTAAGTCAGTGGTACAGTTGGGCAGGGATTTAGACAGTGATGAGTTGGTAAACAGGCTGGGGACTGAGTTGGGGGGAAGACAGCCTTGATTTGTAGCATTTGCTGATTTGTAACAAAACTGGAAAACCATGCCGAAACCGGTTTGGCTCAGTGGATAGAGCGTTGGCTTGCGGACTGAAAGGTCCCAGGTTCGATTCAGGTCAAGGGCATGTACCTGGGTTGCGGGCACATCCCCAGTAGGAGATGTGCAGGAGGCAGCTGATCAATGTTTCTCTCTCATCGATGTTTCTAACTCTCTATCTCTCTCCCTTCCTCTCTGTAAAAAATCAATAAAATATATTTTA